CATTTCACAGAAAGCGAATACATTCATCGATGATAAAACAAATCTCTATCAATATAATATTCTTCAAAGTATATAGTAATGTAAGAATCTTCCGAAATTGTACAACATTTTTCACACTGTAAGTGTTATGTTAATGTTAATATAAACAACACTGTAATATTTGAAAATACAGCGAATAATATATCATATACATATAGTACAATAATAGAAAGAAATGTTAGCTACATACAATACCGTCCCATGGTTCTTGTGATAATAAAAGCAAGCATAACATTTTATGAGTTATCACATTTACCACGGGGAAACGGTTCGACAGGGTATGTACACGGGGGTGTTTCAGTAATTGGGACGGTATGAAACCATTTCATGTAGTTCTCATATGCGTTGGGAAAGGTTTGTTTGTCATTCTGAGAACGACTCGGGTAAGATATGTACAGTAACTGTCTATTCTATTCTGTTCGATACATGGAATAGCGTTTGCGCCGTACTCATTGAATTAGGCACGCCTGTTCTTTTCAGTTACTATGTTTCATACTGTGTTTCCTTCATTTCACATTTGAATTAGCAGCCTGTGTTGTAGACCTTGTCTGCAACATACTTGAAGCGTTAGAATCTTTGGTGGACGTTGCTGGAACAATTTTGTTGCTCTTGCTGCAGCAGTTTTCAAGACAGGGGAGCATGCGGTAAAACTCTTTGCGAAAGTTCTCGTTAAAATACGCATACAGGCAGGGATTGGTCCAGCTGTTGCTAATGTAAGTGAATGTTGCTATATGTAGTTGGACTTCTACACTCTCCAGTAGAGATACTGGGATTTTGTCTGTAAAATTGTAATATAGGATATACACGTAGTAGGGCAACCACGTCAGCGCAAATGCTAAAACAACGAGCATCAGCATTTTAATTGCCTTTCGTTTGTTTCGGTTAGAAGTGTTCGTTGGCCCTTTCTTTCTCAAAGACACAACCATTATACAATAAAGTACCACCATGATGACCAATGGGACGAGGTACATGACGAGGAAATCTGCAATATGCAACAGATGAGTGATGCTGTGGTACTCAAATGGAACCATGCAGTACTTTTCCGTCACGTTGTACCAGGTGAATAAGTACATGTCAAGTAGTATAGGTTTTCTCAGAGAATACGCCAGCGATGCCGTCCAGATCATCGCTACGATGCCCCCAGCGTGAGAACGCGTCAGTCGCGGTTGTAAAGGTGTCACGATGGCTCTGTAGCGATCAATAGCGATGCCGATGAGAGAGAATACGGTGGCACAGCGCGATGTCCACTGGAACCAAGCAAATGTTCGGCATACAAATATATTGTTGGTCAGAGAAGCAAATACACCAGGTATTAGGTAATAAAATAGGTTGTATGGAATTTGGAACATCGCGACCAAAATATCAGCGACTGATAATGACAGTATAAACATGTTGGTCGACGACTGTCGCAGTTTGGGTTGTCTAAGGACAGCAATGATGACCCAAATGTTTCCAAAAACGATCATAACAAAAAACAGACAGTATACGAATATTTCATAACTATTGGGTACATCGATGATCCTCCGTGGATAATACATATCTTGCCAATTGAATGTATTATTCATATTCTCCATACTTAGCGGTGGTCCTATAACAATAATCATATGAACACGTGGTTAGTGGCATATAGTACGATCAATAAATACATGTCAGAAGAAAATATTATTGTTTTATTTCATTATGAAAACAAGTATTAGAAAAAAACTAATACAAATTTGGATATGGATAATTAACATAACGAAGTAGTAGTGAGTGATATATAGTTTTTCGGTAACGGTGTTTCTGCAACTAAAATTGTTCTTAGTTGATTCTATGAACATATTGTCCTCTGATGCAGCAAGACCGAATTCAATAAATTTTGCTAGGATATGATTGCATTAAACATGCTACAGGGACGAATGATTTTAATTTTCGGTAGTTTCGTCGCTGTGCACGGAATTCCAGCATTGCATCTATAGGGAAACACACTGTCCTTGCTGGATACAATGTAGTCAGCATGCAATTGACAACGTTGTTACGTAGGCGTAATTTTATTACGTATGTGTATGGGCAGAATTAAGTTGTTGACAAAACGAATCCAGGCACTGTGCATATGTGTAGCTTTCACTTCGATACGTCGTTGATGATTACCAAATCAGGCACAAGCTGTGATAATTAACTATGCAATAAATATTGCAAACATTATATTACTATTTACGTATTAGCTATGCTGTAATAAAATTGGTAATACTTGGAAGTAGCAAACATTTAAATAGTCATGCAATCTACAAATAATTCAATGCTTAGCTTGGTTACCTCATATGTTAGTCATAAACTAAACTTACTCCTATTACATTATTTTACATACACAATACAAGGCTTGCATTAGAATGGTAGATCGGATTCAATAAGGAATCAATCTAAACAAAATAATCAAATAGAGTATAGAGTTTGTTTTATAAATTCGCTCTTTGTCTATGGATGTGTGTTATAGTTTTTTTAAGGACAAAATGTATATTACGATGCCTTATATGCCGCATAAATCCGGTAAAAAACTGTGATGCCGGTTTAGCGTATGCAATGAATATGCAATGGACCTGCAGCGTCATTTCCAGTTTAAACATGTATTTATTTCATTTTTTTCACAAGCTGGACATTTTTTTTTTCTGTCACACAAATCAAGGCTTCAACAAGGATGGATACATAGTGAGCAAAAATCAGACAAGAAATCCTAAGCGGTGAGCATTTTTTTCTCGAAAAAGATTGAGGGTTAACCATTTGAAATCGAGGGTGTCATTCCACTTGTGCCCGACATGTTTTGTTATATGTATTTCAATACTATGTTTTAAAGGACTCGTTGACTATCAATAATAAATACTAGCTGTAATCTTCTGCCCTCTCCCATTGAGTTCAAAGTGTGGGCCCTTAACTGCCTCAGGGGGAATTTGTTCCACCGTTTGCGATTTTTGCAGAATTTTTGCTCACCGTTCACCTACTCTCCGCTTCAAAGATTTATCCTGTTAAAGTGTAAAGCGAATAGTTAAGCAAATGCAAATTTAAGGAGGTATTATAATGAAGATACCTCAAAAGTGTAAATGTATGAAATTACTACGCAGTTACTACGCTATTTAGTAGCACGGCTGTCAGGATTGTGTACATTATATTATAATAAGGAGCAGCTCCCTGTATTCCCGTGACGCATGAAAACATGCAAATGCTGGTGTCTACACGCTTTCAGGGAAAGCATATTCAGTCAAACCATGATACCATCACTAATTAGTGGAATACACGTAATTAAAATCTTCAAGTGTAGCAATAAATCGTTTAACCTAAATAATATTTAACTTATTCACTGTGCATGCTTTACGAAGATGCGAACTGCAAACTTGTGCCTTTTTTGCAAATCATGTCTACTATAGTACAATATTTATAATTGTGTCATCACCTTGTTTGCATTAATGACAGTTACTTAAGCATCAAATGTGAATTTTCGATCGGATATATTGTTTTTAAACATTGTACGGCAGCGGTAGTTCCATTAACCATTGACACGATTTGTGAGGAAACAGCTGGGCACATATTCATATAGCATGTTAGTGTAATGATATAAATTAAAAGGTTTCCCAAAAGAGACAAGTAATTATTCAGCTCAATCGACCTCACAAAAATGTCATATGCAACATCTACATTTGCGTTACGAATACAAAACAATGCGAACCAATGGCGCGTAATAGGTTGTCATATCAATGACTGTCAGCTGCTTTACATTCCTTTGTAAATGACACACCTAATTATTTTTCTATTAATATTACTCTTTAAATGTATTACAAAATCACATAGCATTCGGCGTGACCCTATTAAAATTGTAATTACATTAGCTTCAGATGTGTGATGAAAATATAAATATTTTACTTTGCACAGCAGTCAATTGAAATTCGCGTGTTTTACTTTTAGTCCCATAAATTGCGATCTGTAAAAAATTTACATATTTGTAAATGGTCTGGAAACGGAATGAGAATAATAATTTAATAATATTAATATTTGAAGCGGCAGGGGTGAAAAACAATCATTTGTCACAATGTTTGTCTCAGGTATGGTTAACATGTTATACATTTTTTTTTTCAAATTCCGCGGATGTTAATCATTTCATAAGTCATCTTTCAATACAAATTATTATTGTCCTGTGATGTTGCTCGATGAGAAACTGGGTGTGGGAACTATACGATAATTGTCTATATCATATTTAACCTTTTCTGTTTTTTTAGCGCACAGTCGTTTATTTTGTTGCAGAATTTATGTGAGAGTTGATGGGCAATCCCTCATGTACGCAAAAGATGACATACGAGCATCCGTCGAAGCTTCTGTACGATGCAAAATTATATATGTCAAAACATGTCAACAAACACGCTGCTCTCTTATTGGTCAGACTGTCAGCTGTCTCGTTTGAGTATCCAATCACGTACAGTCTTGTAGGTAGCTTACCATTGACTCAGGTGATCTTGGTACACGTTTCAAAAAGTTCACCGTTAAATTGATATAATGAATATACTAAAATAAATTAATAAACATTGCAAAGTACGGACGAATTGAATAAAATATTTGCGGGCAATATCATTTGCATAAAAGACTGAAATGATACCGGAATTGACGAAAACACAAATATTTGTAAGCTTAAAAGCGATCGGATTCGTCATTCTCCCAATTCTCAATATTTATTGTTGGTAGATTATTTTTTTTTAAATAATTGACCGAATTTTGAATTTCGGTTCTTCCGAACTGCCATTATTATCCTTTTGCCCACGGAATAGAAGATTGTTTTCTTTTTAACGAAGCTTTATTGTGGCCTTGGTCTACTTCATGTTTCCGTTGCCGTGTATTTATTTTTTTTATTTTCAGAATCTAGGTACGAAATATGTGAACTAGATTCTTGTAATCTTCATGGTAAACATGTTTTCCAACAATTTTTGCAGATCAGTTGTGTTTATCACATGATATTTTTCAGTTATTCGACGATAGTGCTGTCATCGGTGCTTTTTAATCTTTTTCTCAAGGACGCGGTTTTAAAGAATAGTAGCAACGTATGGACGACCTCCTTCGCCAGCCAAAGTCCTCATTTATTCGGTAATTAGTCCAGTCATTTTATGCAAACAAAAGTGGGCAACCCACCATAAATTGCAGCTAAATTTATTTTTACACTATTCTTCTCAGAATATCTCATAGAAAACCATATTAAAAATCTTACAAAATCAAATTAGCCGAATAGTGTTAATTTACATAAATCCAAGATGGCTGCCACAGCTGTTTCGATTAAACGTATTGTTCAATATTGGTCGGATTTTGACATTTTTGGGGGTTTTCGTATGTTTTTTTTCATTTCTGCCATGATCTGAATAATTTATACTGTAAATATTACACAAGCCACTAAACCTTAATTGTATCATAAATAATAAAGGCTTATACTTTTTTTCATTTAGAAACACATCAAAGTAAAATATAAGGACATATGTTCTGGTACGTTTCAACGGTAAATGGGAAAACAAAGTCACGTGATGTAGCGCGTTTCCATGGGTACTTGAATGCGAAGTCGCTCGTTTTTGTCTAAGTTTATTCGGCCAAGCCTCTAAACATACCTTGGCAGAACGACCATCAAACATGCGTATTCAACAGCTTCCCCAGTAGTCAGTTTCGGCTAATCATTGTCCAATCAGTTTGCGTGTTACAAATCCCTCTTTGGCGTTTCATTTTAAACAAAATGGCGGCGCCCATGAATCGTGATATTTGTGATGATAACATTGCGAAAGTTTTCGGTGTTGGTGCCATCAAGCCTCATCAGTTACAGGCAATCGACGCAGTTTTGTATGGGAGGATGTCTTCGAGGCGCGCCTAATCAGATCTCACTGCTTAAGATACGCAATTAGCCAATGCGATCCCGTACGTTATCGTGTAGAGGCATATATGGTCGAAGACACGGAACCGTGCATTCGGATGATGGTTTTTGTCAGTTAAACTATGACTTGATATTAGACGATAACTTATATTGGTTTAAATTCGTGCGAAATGTTGTTTTTCATAATACACTCATGGCCAGTATAATACAGATATGTTGAAAATGTACTCGGTAACTATAACCGAGATAAGACGCAAAATATAGGTATTATTTTAGGACCTTTTACCCCACCGACGTTAGAAGCTATTTCTGGACGAAGCGCTCTCCATCAGTATCAGTATACTGAGGCGGACATGCGCAGGATACATTTTCGCGTGTATATTTCAGTTTACAAATGAATTGATTTACCTTTATTGAATTACAAAGATGAGTAATAGGCTGGCATGAATACCAAGCTAAAGTGATCACAAATACAACAAACATCACATGAAAAATTTGGCTTACAACTTTTCCAAACGAGATTTCGATTATAACGCACTATAAATCTTACGTTTAGCCAATAAACTGTGTTTTATTGTACAGCAGTGGTGTCGAGATAAGGAAAGGCAACACGCCTTTAAGAAAAAAAACGTGAACATCCGATGTATTATTCACGTTATTACATGCATATTATTAGGTTTTGAGGGCTGCCGAGTTCATAAAAGAAAAACTAAATAAATAAA